AAAATCAAAACAGGTGATTTAGCGAAAAGCCACTCTCATTCGACGCGCATGTATCCTGATACTGTGGAGGAAGAGTTAAACCTTTTAAGAAAAATCCTAATAGAAAATGGATTTCCACCACATTTTATTGACAAGAATATACGGTTAAATGCTGTCAAATTTGACTTATCATCTGTAACCAAGAAAATAGGGTAAGGGAGGTTGGAATTCAGAGGAAACTTAGCATCCGATATCATTGAAAGAAGGATATCACAGTTACTGAAAAGAACATTCCCTGCTATATCTTTGAGTATTGCGTTTTCCAGTCAACCATTACTGTTCAATAACCTGAAGGACAAGATCTCACAGTTGACAAACTCTATATGCGTGTACCAATTCACCTGCTCGTCTGAAGGCAGGTATATCGGTCGTTCGACTCAAGTTTTATCCAAGCGGGTGCAAGAACACTACCCTGCATGGTGGTTACGAAGACGTGGAAGTGGATCAATAAAAAGCGCGGGCATTGAACATCTAGTCGGTAATGATCACCCTGTCTTTACAGCCTCCGTCTTTAAATTCATCTACAAGGCGAAAAGTAATTGCCCACATCGCTAAGTATCTGACTCATCTGTATTGCTGAAATTTCGGCTATCGGAACAGAAAAGCCTGATCTCTGTATACAGAAAATCTTCATTCAACTACTGCAACTTTCATGGTCTTAATCTCTCTATTCCGGAATATGGTATTCCCTAATCGAATTTTGGCTCCATCTATTTTTCGTTTTGTTTATTCAATTTGCATACGTTTCCTTTATTGCGTTAGTTGTTACTAGTACTATTTTCACTTCGAATTGTCCCCGATATAATTTCACTCGTTGCACTAGTCTTTCTGAATCAATTATGTTTCGTAACGTTAAATTCTATGTTATAAAATTTCACATAATGTTACGTAACGTCTTTATTTTTATTCCATTTGCCTGCTAACCCTGTAATTTCACACCCCTTCCAAGTGCTATACATCCTATGAATTGTTCTATATATGACATTAATTGTTTTGCCACTTCACACTCAACTATGATTATGATCGCAAACATTTTAATCGTATTTCATACTGCTATTATTATTATTTTATGTATTCACACCTATGATTCAATTCCCTTGCTGGACATAATTTATATATAAAAATTTTAACCAATGACGGTGATTTTGTGGATCAGATGATAATCACTTCCATCCGATTGAGTATCCTTTATATAAGTGAATATTTAATTTGAGTACCCAGTGAACTCATGGCTAGTCATTGTCTTTTGTTAATAAGATTCTCTAATTATTTCCTCTGAGGTGTATTTCTTAAAATTAATCATTATTTAAACAAGCTAGTATATCTCTCCAATAACAACTGATTGTATAAAAAAACTCTTAGGATTGTTTTTTTATCTGTTATGTACTCGTCGCTAAATTATTGTTATGGACTGGTCGAGAAACTAATAGTCCTGACGCAAGAAGACGGAAATCAGAAGACCACTAGGTTTGCGATGATACTTCTATTTTCCAAACACAAGGAGAATACAAAAGTGGTATCACACCAAAGTGGTAAGTCAGTCAAATTGTGAGAGCGAAATATATATGAATGTTCAGACAAGGGTGTGAACAATCATTAGACAGTCTTAACATGAATGGCTAATTATAATGAAGTATCGATCCATATATACATAGCGAAATATAGTAGATATGTCAACAACCACCATATATGGATATATGTCACCAAGCAACGGACTGTCAACAAACACTCATATTATACATAATATAAGGAGAATATACGTTGTTAAAGGAGACAGGTTCATACAAGTGAAATGGTCACAGACTAAGAGAGCAAACAGAAAGAGAGATCACCATACACACACATATATATATATATATGTGGATACATATCATTATCATAACATAAATTTGAAGCTCTGAAGACTGTAGACAGGTTTTTAAAAATGAGTATAAACCATGAATGAATTAATAAGTCTTGAATTTATTATGCTGTCACACTTCTGTGTTCATTTTTTGAGGTCTTTGCCGCTCTGAATTCAGTCGCTATCTGCATTAATAAATATCTGATTCACAGTTAAGGTAGGCGACAATCATGCTGTATTTTATTCATATCTTCAAACAATCACTTGTCACTAATTAACATCCTTCTTTGCGATGCATCATCATGATGAAGAAGCCGTCATGAATCCTTAAATTTTCACTAAAGGTATGAGTATTGTTCAGTTTATCACCAGATAAATAAATTATTTATGCGAAAAAGTAGAGATTTGTAGCCAAGGTGATTGTCCACAGTGACCAAGTGTTCACTGATTTGGATCGTTTAATTGTGAGGATTTCTTTGTCTTTCTTGAAAACATATTCAGCTTTAACAATTATATGAAGTGAGCTTCAGGAAGTCTCCATGCATGAAATATTCGTCTGTCATTGTTTATGTCAGAAGGTTTCTAATATAGCTGTATTGATGCTGATCATCCCCTCAGCCTATTAGTTGATCTATTTTCCGTGATTAATAGATTTGATTTATACATGTAAGTCTATTTTTTTCAAATTTACTTGAGTATCAGGTTTCTAGGTATTCTCTGGAATTTTCTATAGTTCCACAGTCTAAGATGTTTACATTCTCCTAGTTAGTTTGACGACCATAGTTATCCATGTAAACTGAAATAGAAGAATGCTTATCATTTCTTTCTACTGCTGGTTTGTTATCATGAATGAGACGAGGTAGTGGACATCCAATTTGTACACTATTTTGCTTTCTTGTGGTTCATGCAATCTACCAATGATTTTAGAAATGCCCTTTGTGTGGGTAAGTGTTCAACGTAGTTTTTGTATTTGAATATATATAGCGAAAATATTCATTCAGACATCTATAAAACACAAAATAGTTGAGCAAAGAATATCCTTTTTGATAATTTCCTCTTCTGGCTCTACAGTTATCTTTATGTTTATATACATTGACCACTATTCTAGCATATTCTGTAAGTAATATTATTATTATTGTTCCTTTGGGTTCCTAGTGGAACATAGGGCTTCAAATGCACGTCTCCACTTGTTTCTCTCTTCTGCTGTACTTTCCACCTGCATCCATGTTAGTTCATACTGTTTCGACTCCTCTCTACAGAATCTCCTCCAAGTCTCCCTTGGACGTCCCACTCGCCGGTTCCCTTTCGGCCTGGTTCCACTAGAGCAATGGCCTGACGCGTGCGCGATGTCACCCAACGGTCTCTTCAGCGAGTATATATATATATAATTGTAGAGCCAAAAGAGGAAATTATCGGGAAGGATATTCTTTGCTCAATTATTTATATATATATATATATATACATATATATCATGTGCGTCCGTAGTTTAATTGTAGAATGCTCTTCAACCACTCAAGTAGTCCGACTTTGATTCCCAGGGGATGAACTCGTTAAGCTCACCTATTTTACCAGTCATTGGTAAGCTTATAAAAGAGAGTAGGTAGGGTATGAGGCTAGTAACCCCATCCCGTAAAAGAACACTACTCCTTGACGACCTTCAAACCTCGAACACTAGTCAGAATGCTAGGGAATGAATATATGTACATATATATCATAAATGTAAATCGATCAACGTTTGCTTATTGTCACGGTAGTAATAATAATAGTAATTTTTTATGGTAACGAAAATTCACTTTCAAGACTAGCATTTGGGGCTAGCATGACCACTAACTAGAACTTTTCTTTTTTTTAGGGGAATCAGAAATGAAACTGTATGAAATGAATTTTTACGTCAAACTTCATGTCTTCCTTTTTATGAGTCATTGTTTTCGTTGTCTAGACAGGTTTTTTTTTAAAATTTGCTAACCAGACCTGAAGTAGACAGAAAGTTGATCAATCCAATGAATTTTACTTGATATATTACTTGCATACTTGTTTTTTTAGTAGTAGTGTAACAACGGAAGACAAGGGCCAGGCAACAGATCGTTTATTAAGGAAATCAACACGTATTTATATATTTTCATGTACATTATTATAGTTTATTCAGGCAAACAAACACACTCTTCTGATTGGTTGCTTCTCACAGAAAGTTGACCTTACATCTCTTTGTGACTGTTTCTCGAATGTCAGGTCATCTATATGTTAACTGTATCTGCCTACGCCAAGTCCGCTCTGATTGGTTGTTGAATCAGTTTTGTTCATATTTTCTCACGACCAATATTTGCGACACAAACATTGACGTAAATAATTGTCTACCAATTTTGGCTAGCAGCCACCTCTCACCACAGTAGTAGTGTTAAAAGGGGGAGGAGTCTTAGTAATACAGTTATTTGTTTCAGGTTATACCATTCACTGATATCAATTATAGAACCTTTGAAAACCAGGGAGTGCTGAACAGCTCTTTTGTCGTAGTTTCGTACTCCTCACAGTACGCTTTCACTGGGTTTTGAACTCAAAACCCTCCGTTTACAAGGCAATCTCGTAGACCATTCAACGACTGGGACCTGAATTATTGGCCAGTCCATGGAATCTAACTTCTACCATTTCGTGATTTTAGTGTGACCACCAACCAGTGTCACTGGTGGGAACTTCATCCTCCTCCCCGACTGGTCACGACTTCTCACTTGTATCCCAGGCAACTTCATCCCCTATGGCATGTATTAGTGGCAAGATTGTGTAAATAGTATGTCGCGTGTGTGTATCGTATCTTCTAAAAGAATATTGAATAGCGGAGAGACGAATTAAGATGTGAAAGGTGTGAATGAAAGATCTTCACGAAAAACAAAAATTATAGGAAGCACGAAAGGAAGGCTAAACACGCTCAGCATGAAGGACACATGTAAATGGATATTTCATTGCAAATTGTTTGCATTTCACTGTAACTGTACATCATTTTTCATACAAACAACCGTGTTACGTAATAATTTCTACTAATTGTTCGTTATCTTTCATTTCATGTCTACGCTGATCAATAAAAATGATTTATTCATGTGTTTATCATCCCTTTCTCCTTAACTAGGGTGAATGTGGTGCTTGTTGGGCATTTTCAGCAGCTGGTGCATTAGAAGGTCAACTGAATAATAAAACTGATCATTTTATTGAGCTGTCTTCTCAACAACTTATTGATTGTAGTCAATCATTTGGTAATCATGGATGTTTAGGCGGTGATATGAATAATGCATTTCGATATGTTGAAAGTAATGGAATACAAAAAGAAGAAAATTATCCTTATTTGAATAAGGTAATCAGCATTTTATCCGGACATAAATTATTTTTGTTAAAAATTTAGTTTTAAAACAGTATTTAAGTAGATGGTGATATAAGGTGGTTGGAGGTAATCGGTAGGAAGCCTTCTACCTAGGTTTCGTGCTAGTTGGCTCCGTCGATCAGCAGAGCTTAACTGCAACCCTGAAGGAACTCATGCCCCTCCTAAGATTCGAACCCTCGACACCCTGTGCAGTGCTGCAGTCAGAGAGGTTACCACTGAGCTATTCGGGCTCATTATTGGCCACCAGGAAGACTATATTGGATACTTTGACTAGGCAGTAGTAGTAAGGTTTGCAATGTGACAGCTCGTCATCAAGATGCACATTGATCTGATGATATTAGATGGTTGGAGGTGATCGGCAGGAAGCCTAGACCTAGGGTTCGTGCTAGTAGGCTCTCGTCAGCAAGGACAGAATTCAATCGGCCCCAAAGAAAGGACTAGACACATCACACTAATTACTAGTGTCCAATCAAAGTTTTTTAAGTAAATGCTTATTTTCAGTAAATTCTCATCGGGCTTTACAAAATTACATAATAAAATATCAGTTATAGACATTTGAAATAGTGTGGATCAATATAATCGAATATTAACTAGTAGAATAATAATAATAAATTGTGAAACTAAGATTAAATACGCAACAGTAGCATAGCATGATACTGATAATAAAGTTAGCAGAACAAATGAAAATAATGTTAACAGTTATCCGATGTCACAAAGAAAGATAACTACTCTAGGCTGTTGGATTTCATCGTGAACTGATATTGGTCAGAGGGCTATTGGAAACTCTGCTGGGAGTATTGTATTGCTAGTTGTTTAGTCCTATTTCGGGGCTCTTCATAGTACGCATCCAGTGAGGTTCAAACCCAGGACCTTCTGGTTACAAGACGAGCTCGTAGACCACTAAGCCGCCGGGACTCTATTCAAGGGCGAGTCCAAGAGTTCCAACTTCTGTCAGTTCATGATATGGCGCGACCACTAGCGAATGTCATCACTGGCGAATATTTGTCCTCACGCCCGACTTGCCAGTGAGCTTCAGAGTGATATTCAAGTGTTGGTTTCCAGGGATTTGATTGGTTTCAGGATTTCATCATGAACTGACATCTGTCAGGGGACCATTGGGAAATCTGGGAGTACTCGACAGCAGTTTCGGCTTAATGGTCTACGAGCTCGCCTTGTAACCAGGAGGACCTCGCCTAGAAACATGGTGGTGGATGATTACTGGTGAAGGATCTCAAACCACGAGTACTCTCTGCAGGTTTTCCAATGGTTCTCAAACCGATGTCAGCTCATGATGAAATGTTGAAACCAATCAAATTCCTGCAAACCAATACTTGAATACTGTAGGTTGTGTTTGAAGGCAATAGGAGACGGTGAGGTTGAACATGCGTTTTCTGAACATAAAGACTGGACTGAAACTTTTTATGATGACCGCCTCAACTATGCTCAGTAATCAGAGTAAAAACTTAAGGAATTGAGGTGGCATATTGCACATATTTTTTTTATTTTTATGCTCCTCATCCACAAGCTGTTTCAATATGGAACTTCTGATTGACTTAACGACTCTTTTTCCTAATGAAGTTGGACAGTGCTCAAGAAAGCGATGATGGGTTCGCTGAATCGTCCTACCTGTTTAATTGTCTCCTCAAGAACAGTTAAATTTATAAATAGACACTGAAGTGGAGGGCGTCTGTGGCTTATCCTTCACCTGCGATGGAACTATACGACGGGTGGTAAATCTTAAACATATTTTTATCTTAATTTCACAATTTATTATTATTATTCTACGCGATTATATTTGATTCTATCGATCCAAATTGTTTCAAATGTCTATGACTAATATTTTATTATGTAATTTTGTAGAGCCTGATAAGAATTCGCTGAAAATAAGTATTTGCTTAAATCGTGGCAATATTTAAACATTTTAATTATTAGATTTCTAAAGTATTACTCATATCATAATTGCAGTGTGAAGTTTTAATGCATAACGCTATATACTACTGATTGATGAATGTGAGTAGTTGGATACCACTCACATTAACTGGTAGTGCTATCCACATTGAAGTGATCAATATATCGAACGGGCGTTTTGCTCGTTTCGAACCGAGCTCTTCAACACTTCTGGTTGTGGATTCATGGTGAGATTAACCAGCCTCACTGGTCAGTTAGATGTGCATACAACCAAAGCACCAGTTCGGTAACCATTGATTTGAATCTTGTCACGACTGAGATTTTCATTTCACCTTGAATCGGCATATATATACCGTATGTATAGACTAGGTTGGTAGTCTGTCAGACAGAATTTGGATTATACAGATATTGATTTCCAATAAGGTTTTCAGATAATCATCTAATCAGATTTCAGCCCACTGATTGCCTCTCACTAATCGGCCCAATGTTGTAACAAATAAATAGCCCATGATAACTTTTCGTATTACCATTAAGATTGTACGCTTACAATTACACGATCTCTCACTTAATCGCTTGGGAATACACTTTTCCGCCATATGCTTCTGCTAAATTCAGTTTCTCTCTATAATTGCAGGATACATTCAAATTTAGTATCAGAGTAGTTCATTTAGCAAAGTACAGAAACCATCATCTTTACCGTCTGACCCTAGACGCCTATCAAATCAGCGGGGGTTTCCAAATGCCACAGAAACCTCCAGGCTATGAATCTAGTGGAAGATACAGATGCCAAGTGTAACGGTAGAACACGTTAGTACTTACTAGCGGAATCGTCTGTTTGGCAAAATGACGCACAGTTATTGTAAAATACAGAAATCTTTTACATTGAAATATCCATTTGTACATGCTTTTCGTATTGTGCTTCCTCTATATTTTCGTAATTTGATCCGCTGCTCTACTATTCAGTATTTTTGCAGAAGACATCATACAAAATATACTACTTACATAATGTTGTCAGTAGCACACGAGATGCGCTAATTTCTAATATTTGCTTCTGATTACCTTCGCCATCATTTTTACTAGTACTTTTACCATTTCCTTCTTATTTCTGAATATCCAGGCTGAAATGCATTCCATTTCATTTATGAATTGGTTTAAATTATATACATTTACGGTGTGAATGGCGCCAAGCTGCATTTTTTAAACTTGTTAGCACAGATGTATTGCCATTTTTTTTCTTCTGTACCCAAATCAAGACTGAAAACGTCAATTCTTTTGTCCTATAAGTAGTTATTTTTACCAAATTCAAGTATCACTTTGTTAATTTATACCTTGATCAGAAATTTCGATTCTGCACATATTTCAATCACACTGAGATGTAGTCAGTCACAAAATAAGGAGTTTCTTTTGAAATCCGTTCAGCCTGCTTTTTCTTCGTTTACACGTGCTTATTTATCATAAGATTACTTTGACTGGACACTGGTAAGTAACTAGTACTCTCAAGACTGCAAACATACCTTTTTGGCTGATGAGTACCAACATGCACAAAACCTAGGTCGAAGGCTTCTTGCCAATTGCCTCTAACCATCTGATAACAACAATTCCGAATGCACTGTGATGGCTAGCCACCTAGAATCGTAGTCACACTGTAAACTTGACAGATAAGATTCAGTCTATACCAACCAAAGGACTAGACACATCATACGAGTTACTGAATAGTGTTCAATCAAAGTATCTCATACTGTCCAATGAAGGCCAATCATGAGCTGATTAGCTAAATGGTAACGTCTTTGACTGCAGCACTGCCCCTGGTGACAAGGGTTTTAATCTCAGGAGGGATATGAGGTCCTTCAAGACTGCAGATTCGCCTTTCTGACGAATGACAACAAGCACGAAATCCATATCGAAAGCTTCCTGACGATTTCCTCCAACCACCTAATATCCTAAAAGTACTTGTGTACTATTTGTTTATATCATTAACATGATGTTACTTGGTTGGTGATGAGTGACACTAAAATCTGTGATAAGCGCTTCATCCTAATCAGGACTCGTCGGTGGCCAAAAGGATAAGGCTTCAACCTCCGAAATGATGGGTATCAGCTTTGAACCTCAGTGAGAATACTTTCACCCACTTGGGTTGCAGGTATATCCAGCTAACGACTCACAAACAGGATGGAATGCATGTCCTAAGTTGCACTGGTAGCTATCATCAACCAAATCACCTCATTTGTGTGTAATGAAATCTTTATTGAAACTGTTTGCACCAACTGTGATACAAATTTGCAGCTTTATATATTCTTTTCAAAATATAGTTATTCAGTATATACACAAATTGTTTCTGTCAGTGTTAGTTATGCCCTATTGAAAAATAACTTCCCTAAATTATTATTTGGCGATAAAACTCACTACTTTTTATGCATTTGACTTGAAGCTTATCAACTAGCGGGGATGGGAGTTGGAATAGAGAGTGAGAAAAAGTGTTCTATACTCTCTTAGGCTAGATGTTTGATGATAATTGCTATGATGCTTCACTTTCAAGTTTATGATCGATAATTTAGTTTTATAGAGAAATATGTATATAAATATTTTTTGTGAATTCATTAATGAACATTTTCACACTATGAAATTCACTGGAATTTATTTTGATATAGGTAGGTTTTTTTGTGAAATGGTAAATTTAATAACAAAATTTTCATTCTGTTTTCAGTCGTTAATATAATCTAATTAGCAGACATCTATATATATGAAGGGATGTAGTGTAGAGATGTAGGCGCAGAGAAGAGATCTGTATTAATCCTTGAATATAAAGAGCCAATAAACAGATAGCTGGTGAGAATGTAATATCTAAAGACAGAACACTTCTAACGAATCTTTGTAAATGAATAAATACATTGGAGATGATAATGTATGTTGTGAATTAGAAGAATTTGAACATTCACTCAAGTATTGGTTTTTAGGGATTTGAGTGATTTATATTCTTCAGATAGAGAGATGATATCATTTTTGAGGAACATTAGAAACCTAGGTGTAATAGACAGTCAGGATAAATACTCCTCGATAGCATCGGCTGATAGTGGTAATGTACATAGCTAATTTGACAGAAATCATAATTCATGAGCTATTAAATTGCGTTCCAGTGACTGGATGGTCGGCGATATCGTCTCATAATTTGAAGGTCCTAGATGCATACTAAAGAAAAGTCCTGAAGTAGGATGGAACAGCTGACTGGTACTCTGTGGCTTTCAGTTGCTCTCCAATTGATGTTATTTCGTGATTTATACTGAAATATATAAGCCGTAGACACTTTCACTTCAACACTGTTGCTAGATCCTTCGTAGGTGGGTATGAATATATATATATATATATATATATATATATATATATATATATATATATGATTTATTTGCATTTTAGGAGGGTAGATGTCAACATACAAAATCTAAATCCATTATTCATTCTAAATTGATTATTGAAGTGAAAGCAAATGATGAAGAGGAATTGAAAACTGTTTTATACGAACATGGTCCAGTCTCAGCCGGGATAAATGTTGAACAACAGTTTATAAGATATAAGTGAGTTTTTCTTATTGTTGAATAATTTATATCACTAGTTTTTTTTGCTGAGCAATATATACTACTGACTGATATGAGTAGTTTTATACTAGCGACACTAACCATTGGTGATTGGTGGACAGGTTTCGGAGCTCCATACATCCAATGCCTATTTCTTTCAGTTGAATATGAAGTCGTCACTTTAAGAATGACTATCCAACAATGAAAGTTAGGTTAATTTAGGGCGTCAATCACATTTATCAGCAGTGAGTAGATCTAACATTTTGGTACACTTTGGTAATTATTTCTGACAGTGAAAAACTCTTGTTATTAGGGTAGAATATCGTTGATGTAGAATATGCAGGTGACACTGTCCTTTTAGGTAAGGATGCTGGATGAGTGCAGAGTCTCCTAAACACTTTAAGCACAGATTTTATTATGTTTGGCATTTGATTCACCACAGTCACACTTGAAATGATCCTGCAGGATTGGTAAGCACTGACAGTAAGTTTAGAAATGGAAAGGAGCGTGTCGACTACACTACTTATTCCGGAAGTTGCATCATTCCTAATTGAGTGATTGGTGTTGAGATCTCAGCATGGATACAGAAGCCTCGTGTGATATTTGTCAAATTGTATCATATCTGGCTCAGATGTGATATCTGGCTACCTATGAAAAGAGATGTGTACTTCACTGTTGTTCTCCTCTACGACCGTAAGACATGGTCATTGGATGCAGAAAATACAAAAACGTTTGCTCTCTTTGACCACGGATTTTTGTGTTCTCTGTCCAGTGTTAAGTGGTGAATAATATTGAGTGCAGGTCTAAAGAGTTAGATAAGGGGAGGAGTAAGTCAATCGACCAGGTTGTGAAACTATATCGATTGAGATGGCTAAGGCACGTGTTACGCACACCTAGCCATCGCCTTCCTTGTTGATCAGTGTTAGCCAACATGAGGACCAGGTTCGAAAGAATTATTTTTGAGTGATCGAACCAGAGCACCGGATTCATTTATAACATTTTTCACTTAGTCACATGTAAAAGTGTAGACTACCTGGGTGGTGTTCACCAGAAACTGAGGTCCAAAGGCAAGGCATTGGCTGTGATGGAAAGTCTTAAGTGTTCTCAAAAATGCAGATGCATTCACACTTTGTAATATCCCAGTTTCCAAAATTTCGATGATTATTCCTTTCTTAATGCATTTCCAAATGGTACAATTTCCGTGCATTCTTATCTCCTTTCTTTCTCTACCTTTATGTATGTTTTTATGAAGGTTCTGAGCTGGAAATTTTGTTAACTCATTTCTAATGTATAAGTTCACGAAAACCTAACAGCAAACTACAAATTGTATATAATAACATTAATAACAGCAATAAATTTATTAATAGATCGTTTCCTTTTCCCCTACCTAGAAATGGTCATTAGATAATTAGTAAGAAAGGCAACAATGTTACCTTTTATTGACGTTTCGCCACTTAATGCTACTAACAGTTTTATCAAAGAAATAGTGAACCAGGATTTATAAAATATCAGACCAGAGGCGGTATTTGTTAGATAAACGTATTGAGAAATCGAGGTCATAGGGAATGAAGACTGTAGAGCCTATATTCACCTGCCGAGAAAAAATAATGAGACTAGAAAAGCTTTGATAATCTCTAGTCATATGCTTGTGCGCTATAGAATCAGGCCAGAAGAATTTCTTTGAAGCATTTCTCATGAAATATTATTGTTACCTTGGTTTCTGACTGGAACATAGGACTTTGACAGTACATCTCTGCCTTGTCTTATTCTCTGCCGTCCTCTTAATCTGGCTCACACCTAGCTAGTCGTTTCTCATTCGGACTGCACACGACTGGTGGAGCTATGTTATTCGACAGTCTCTTCAGCGTGTGTCCGATCCACCTCCATTTTCTTCTGCACATTTGTTAAGTAAAAGGTTCTTTATTGGTTTATTCCCAGGGTTGCTTGTCGCTAATTCTTTCTGTTTGTTGAAGCAACAGAGGCAGCTATAGATAAAGGTCTGTGTGAGGCCACTGAAAATGCTTCTCGTGAGGCTCAGTGCAAGTTTCTGTCCCATATTGAAGAAATGACTTCACATTTGCTCTGAAAATCAGAATTTTGTTCTTTATGTTGACTGCAGAAGATTTCTAACCTGATTTCAGAGTGTTGAAGGTCTATCTTACCTTTGCGATTCTGGATTTGCCATCCTTATCCATTTCACCTGCAGTTGAAACGATACACTCTAGATAAGTGAAGGAAGTGAGCTCCTTCATATTCCCTCCGTTGATAGTAATTGAGGTTGGTTGGTGTTGCTGTTAGTTGGTTATCTTCGTCTCCTTCGTCGTCTCTGTGTACAATTGAGGTCCTGTCTTCGTCATCTGCTTCTTCCACCAGTCTCTTGGTTTTCTCTGGTAGACCATAGACGGAGATCATCTGCAAAGTTTAAATCTACTAGTCTTCTTATCGGTCTAAAGTACTCCTGCCTTCCAGCTTCCCGAGATTGGCTGCATGATGCAATCTACCACAATTAAGCATATCATAAGTGATAATAGACAGCCTTGTCTAACTCCTGTATTCACTTTCAATGCCTCTCTGAGTTTTCTGTTGTGGATAACCTGACACTTGGAATTGTTATATAGCTGCTGAATAAGGTTGATTAGGAATCAGGCATTACAAGCCGTATCTTTGAAAAAGTTTCCAAATTACTTCTCGGTCAACACTGTCGAAGGCTTTTTTCGAAATCAATGAAGTTGAGGTAGAGGTTTCACTGCCAGCATATGCTTTGTTCGATGACGACGTGTAGAGTTGCAATTTAATCAACACATGACTTGCCTTTCCTGAATCCAGCTTGTTCCGGCGGGTGGCGGAGTTCTGCATCCAGTGCATCTTTTATTCCCTATAGGATAATGCCACTTAGTATTTTACTTGGCATGGGTGAACGAAAGCATTATTCCACTCCAGTTCAAACAGAGGTGTAAGTCACTCTTCTTTGGTAGCTCGACAAGGTAACCAGCCTTTCTTCAAATCAGTAGGTGTCTTTTCCCTCCTTTCAAACTTTGTGCTATAGTAGCATCAACGTATTCGCTGCCATCTCTGGATCTGTTTTCAGTGCCTCAGGAGCAATTCCATCCGGTTCTGATGCCTTCCTGAACTTCAACAGGACACAATTCAACCTGAATGCCCCAGCTCACTTATTCAACGAAAATGTGATAAATATGCTTCATCACACAAACATATGCTATTCTCATAATTCATATACTTATCCAACTTCGTGCTCTAGACCCTCGAGTGGAACCTGAATAGTAAATCACGAGTTAGGAATGAAGGGAATGAGATCTTATAGGTAATCGTGGAGCCAGCCGAAAAGGATTTCAGAGAATAGGGTGAAATGAAGATGTACTGTCCTATGTTCCCCTGAAAACTCAAGGGAATAATAGCAATAAATCCAACAGGCTTTACAACTTAAAACTGTCTCATACAATAAAAGAATGATCGAATTAAGAAAATATAAGCTGAGATTTTATAACTTCTGGTTGACTACAAATTTGCAAAAGCCATTAGCAGCACTAAATAGCAAACAGACAATAAAAGACAACATCGTTATATTATTTTATTGACTGGAAAATACAAATTTTTAGTAATTATCTTATAAGCATCTTTATGTAGAGAAAAAAAGCAAATATATTAATCATATATATATATATCGTTACTGTTACTAATATTGCTATCAATAATCAATGTTGGCACCAGTACATTAATTTTACCGTGGAAAACGATACACACAGAACAGTCAACACTGAACAACTAATGTAATATTCTAGTCATATTTGGTTATATGGAAATTGTCTACAAGGTATGCATAAACAAACAAGTAACTCTAAAGTTATTAACTGTGGCAATACCAAAACATAATCAAAGATTACATTTTTCTGTATTTAAGTGTTGGTTTGTAGGGATTTGGTTGGTTTCAGGATTTCATCATGAGCTGACATTAGTTAGAGAACCATTGGAAAATCTGGGAGTACTGGACAGCTGTTTCGTCCTAGTTTGGGACCCTTCAGCAGTACGCAGCCACCACCTGGGTTCGAACCCAGGACCTTCCGGTTACAAGGCGAGCTCGTATAGCTCGTACATTTTTTTTTGATTGGACACTAGTCAGTAACTAGTTTAATGAATCTAGTCCTATCTTTGGTACAGACTGAATTAAAACAGTCAAGTTTTGTACAATGTGGCCACCATGCCTCTAGGTGGCTCACAATCACGATGCACTGGGAATTGTTGATATCAGATGGTTGGAGCTAATCGACAAGAAACCTTGGACCTAGGTTTTGGGCTAAATGACACTTTTCAGCAAGGCATATCTACAGCCTTGAAGGAACTCATGTTCCTCCTGCTATTTGAAACGTGTCACCTGGTGCAGTGATGCAGTCAGAGACGTTACCAATGAGCTATTCGGCCTTGCGATTGACCTCCTGTAGGTTGTTCCATTAGGATCGCAGATACGCCCTGCTGACTGGTGAGTGCCAACTAGCACAAAACCTAGGTCCGAGACTTCCTGCCGATTTCCTCCAACCACCTAATACCAACAAACTATTAAAAAAACCCATATACCGGAATGGGACTTATCGATTGAGTTTATATATATATATATATATATATATATATATATATATATATATATATATATATATATATGAGGGGATGACGAACATGAATAAATAATTACAAATAATACCCATTCTAAAACAGACGTTTTTCTTGCCGTCTTTGCACAGTGAATAACTTCTAGGCATTTCAAGTTGTGGATACTATGTCTGACTCTCATATGGGAATACTATCACTCGTTGTGCAGTAGATACACTCAGATGACGAGTTCTGAATAGGATGAAACGGTGACCATTACCAAACAAACAGTTGACTTCAAGTCATTAAATCTCAGCTTTGGTTTGAACATTTATACTGGATAGATTATGTCCAACTAAGATTTTGTATCCACTTCTGCTACGTTATGTTATGTTATG